GAGCTGGCAGCCTCGAGCCCTCTGGAGGGCCCAGGCTCCCCACGCACTCTGGAGACCAAGCAGAGGACAGAGGACAGAGGACATGGCCGCACGGTCCTCAGGTTCCTGTGCTCAGGTTTTCAGCTGGTACACAAAGGGGAAAAGGTCAGCCAAAAGGCCCCTTCTTCTTTGTATAGCCGTTGATTCTGGGTTTGTAAAAATATTGTTTTTATCTATTGCCTAATTCAGGGCTGACTTGGAAAATGGCAAAATGTTCAGAATGTAGTGTGCTGTTGGCTTTGGTCAATTAGGCAAATCAGTGGTAAGAAAATAAACAACCAACCTCAATGAAAAGATACTTCATTCAACAAATATTGGGGTGCTAGGAAAGTCATGACGCATTTTTGCATAGGAAAATACGTCATGACCTTCCAGACAACTTCATAGTCATTAGGCTCAAGTTGCTCTAGTATTGTGACCAACAGATAATAACATGGATGCCTTGTGAAGCTTCTATTCTGAAGGGAGGGGTGAACATGCTCAATAAACAAATAAATAAAACACTTGGTTGCTAATGGGGTAGTAAGTGCTATGGAAAAAAGTAAATCAGTGAACGAGTTGGGATAATTCTGGAGGAAGTGCTGGTGATTTTAAATAGGGCATCCAGGGAAGGCTTCCATGGACAGATATAATACAATTTAGGAAAGCCATGAAGGAAGTGGGAAGCAGCTCCGTGAATACCTATGGGGGTTCCCCTGGGGGTGGGCCCCACTGGGGGATTTTGAGCAGGGGGATGCCATGCTCTGACTTACCAGCCTCTCCCCCATTGCTGTGATCAAGATAGGCTGCAGCAAGATAAAGGCGGACACAGGACACAGTCAGAAAGCTAGTGCCATGGGACCAGCAGTTAGCATAAGGGCTATGTCGCTGGACTCCCATGTAGTTGACCACGGTTCGCATCCCGGACCCGGTGGCTTAAAACTCACACCGGGAACGTGTGCATACATGCCCAAGATCCCGAGAGGAGAATGGAGGAGAAGTGATTGTGGCGTGGCCATCCCCCCTGGGGGGTGATTTCTCGCTTTCTGTCTCTCTGTCTGTCTGGCGAGTGCACACGCCCTATAGCAAAAACCTCTTAAAAAAAAAAAAAAAAAAAATAGAAAAGAAAAGAAAAGAAAGCTAGTGCCATAACCCAGGCAAGAGGCAACAGGTGAGATGGTGAGAAATGGTTGCATTTGATATATTCTGAAGGAAGATGTTGCAAGATTTCCTAAAGGGTTGGATGCATGGTGGAAGAGGAGTGAAGGTTAACTCCAATGTTTTAGGCCTGAGATGGCCAAGATTGGGGAAGGGGCAGATTTGAGGACAAGGAAGACCAAGAAGCTAATTTGGGTATGTTTGAGTGCTGATCAGATATGCTAACGATGCTCTCAGGCAGGCAGTGGGATGTGCGAGTCTAGAGTTGAACGTGAGATTTCAGGCTGCGGTTTTAAATTTGGGGATTGTCACCATATAGAAACTTTAAATGACACTAAAGCCATAAGACTATATGAGATTAGGCCAGCCAGGTGATGTGGCGGTTAAGGCCACTGGATCCCACAGGACTGAGTGCACAGTTCAAGTCATAGACTTGGTGATTTGGAAAATACACCAGGTGGTGTGCAAGTGTGCCCTAAATCTTGAGAGAAGAATGGAAGAAAAGGGGTTGCAGTGTGGCCATCCCTCATGGGGCGTGATTTCTCACCTTCTGTCTCTCTCTGTGTCTCTCTGGCATACACACACACCCTATAGAAAAAAACTAAAAACATAAAAAAGACTGAATGAGATCACCAAGAGACCAAGAGAGAGTGTAAATAGAAAAGAGTTTCAAGAACTAAGCCCTAGAAAAAATCCAATGCTAAGAACCTAGGAAGAGGGTAGAATCCAGCCAAGTGAGGAGAGATGGCCAGTAAGGCAGGAGGGAAACCAGGAGAATGTGGAAAATGTATTTTTAAGGAGGGATTATTTCTGGAACATCGATTGGTAATTGGATCAATACTTGTGGCTTTAACAAGTAAAGAAAGATGTCAAAAACATATACTGATTAAAATGATCGCACCCGGTAAGAAGAGTATATTAGTGTATGTGTATATTGCGTTATGTATTCCAAATAGAAAACAGTTTGGGGACATTTGGGGCCTCACAGTTTCATACCTTTCCACATCTCTATCATCTCAGTTTGTTTCTAATTGCTCATCTTAGGGTTGTTTCCTTGTTTCACAGAGATGTAATCAAGATCCACATGATTATAAATGGGAAATGTAATTCTCAGTGTTTTGGGTTAATGGAGCAAACTGATTATGAATCATCTGCTACACTAGACACTATAGATGACTTCTATTTGTTTTAAAATATTGAATTTACATTGGATTATGGATGTGTAGTATTCTGATCATTCATGCCACATTATAAAATAAAGCTGTGGGACCGGCAGGATAGGGCACTGGACTTTGACATGGCCAACCAGGGTTCCAGTCTTGGATCTGGTGGCTTGCTTTCTCATTTTCTCTCTGTCTGTCTCTCTCCAGTAAGTGCATGTATCCTATAGCAAACTGAGAAAATAATAAGTTCAATTAAGCTTTTTAAAAGTTCTGATAAATAAATAAAATGAAGCTGGTCTATGAACGTATCCACCATAAGAACACACTGACCTTGTTTTTTTGTTGTTGTTTTTTTTTTTTTTACTTAAGCCACCTTCCACCCAAACTAAGAACTCTGGCTTTCTTATTCTCTGAGGACATAGGCATTTCATTTAAATCACTTTTCTTGATAACCGAGCTGGGGGAAAGTGAAAGAAATAGGTGTAACTCAGCTGACAGCCTTGATGTAGATATAGACATCGCATCTCCATTCCTTTTAGCTTTTACTGGGCATCAGGCTGCCAATCTAACAAGGCAACAGAGAAAACTAAACACAAATGGAAATCAAAATAAACAGTTCACATTAAAATGCAATCTTGGCTATATTGTGAAAGGATTTTCTCAATCTGTTGGCATAGCTGTATTTTATTTAACTCCAAACTAATTTGAACTTATTTAGAGTCTTTTAGTGTACACTGATCTTGTTTTTCTGTTTGTTTGTTTAAGGTTTTTGCTATAGGGTGCATGTGTTTGCTGGAGACAGAGAGGGAAAGTGAGGTCTCACTGCCTAGGAGTGAGTGGCCTTGCCACAGTCCTTTCTCCTACATTCTCATCTCAGGATTTGGGGCATGCATACACACACACACACACACACACACACACACACACACACAGCACCCAGCATGATTTTCAAGTCACCAGGCCCAGGACTCCAACCGTGGTCAGCATGTGAGAATCCAACACTTTAACCACCTCACTACCTGCTGATCCTTATTATACAATCATTTTATTTACTCTTAAAATCTTATACAAAGCATTTCTCCAGCCAGTTGTGCTGTATATAGGCCATGTGTCATCATCATAACATACTCAAATCTGTAGGTTCGAATCCACAGGCAATTCTGGTGAATTCTCAGGCAGTGTAATTCCTATCAGTTGTATTTTCAGATATACTGTGTGGACATCCTAAGACACTACACTAAATATAAGTGATAAGGCTCATGTGGATGGATTAGGGTGACTCGCATGTTGCCTTATACTGATTCATTGTCTACATTAAGTCGTATGTCCTACAAACCCATATGCACCTGTCTCCAATCCTATGGGCTGTTTGACAGCTTTTTTCTGGCACTATCTAATGAAAGCTATAAAAAGAAAATGTTTCCTTTCCATTACAACAGCAACAAAAATTTCAAGAATGAAGCCACAAAAATACCATACCACATCACAGGTCACTTCTCAACAGTAAGTCTAAGAACAGTTAGCATCAGGCCATCACAACAGGTTGGAGGGCAGAGTTGCTACATCAAAACTTCTTCAGCATTAACACTTAAATGTGATTGTCATTTTAACAGTATTTCATTTAAAAATAAGGTAACTATGATTTCTTAATGCCAGATAGCTTATCAGTTGACACAGTCATTCAGTTGCATTTTTATCCTGTACTCTGTATGAACCATTCTTTTCTGTTATATTGTAAATCCTAAAGTTAGGAGCTAAGGTATTTTTAATCCAGTTTTATACACTCTAACATAGAACCATAATAATAAAGATATAGGTATTCTTTGACATTTACCAGAAAAGCAGTTTATTCACTAAAACTACCAACTGGTACAACCCCACTGTAATCATATTTTGAGGGTAGAAGGGAAGAAACTAGGGAATCTTTAGTTACTATCCACTCAAAAGTGTCTAAACCAATTTCATAGATAATATTTCATTTTCTGTCCTCAAATATAAAGAGGAATAATATATTACTATAATAACTACTAGCAGCTTTCACTATACCTTCCACCATCCAATTTTTTCCCAGTATAGAAACCTAAGCATAAACCAACCAGTCACATGATAGTTAAGCCAGCTGGATCCCACAAGGCTGACTTGTTTGAGTCCTGGACCTGGTAGTTGGAAAGCCTTGCCAGGCACATGTATGTGAGTGCCCAAAATATTGAGAGGAGAATGGAAAAGAATATTTCTCTCTCACCAGCAAATGCACATACCCTGTAGCAAAATTTATTAAACACGCAATCACACACCAAGGCATACCTATCTGTTGCTGCTAACATATAAACTCTTCAGATTTTGCTAGCTCCCAAATGAAGATCTTAGGCCTGCCAGGGAACTGATTTTCAAGTGGGTGAAATTCTTAGTGGCCCCATAATGACACCATCTAATGTAAGCTGTAAAAAGAAAATGTTTCCTGCTTTTCACACCAAGACTCACAGGACATTTCTGAAAAGCCAAAAGTTTGAGAGTTCCTGACCAAGGGAAGGAGAAGTCCAGCAGTTAGTGTTTTTTGGATTTTTGTTGTTGTTTTGTTTTTTTCAATTGAAATAAATTTAAACCTTCCTAACAACTTGCTTGTATCACTCTGCCCATTCTTTTTTTTTTTTTTTTTTTCAGGTACAGAGCAGTTGCATCCTGGAGCCGTGTTCAGGGAATTGGGATTCCCTTGATTACTGCCATTGAGATTGTCTCCATCTGGATCCTTTCCTTTATCCTGGCCATCCCTGAAGCAATCGGCTTCGTCATGGTGCCCTTTGAGTACAAGGGCGAACAGCACAGAACCTGTATGCTCAATGCCACATCAAAATTCATGGAGGTACTGATAGCTTAAAGGGAATTAATTGGTGAGAGGGGAGGTCTTCATTTGTACTTCACCATGCTGAGACTTGACTTCTTCACAATGCCAAGTATGGTGTCCTCTGTCAACTCAGTCAAATGTTCTCCAGTTGTGTAAAAGTAAATGTAAAGGCAGAGTTTAGCTTCCTAAATAAGAGAGCTATTTGGGGGTCCAGCAGTTAGCGTAATGGCTATGTCGCTGGACTCCCATGTAGTTGACTGCGGTTTGAGTCCCAGACCCGGTGGCTTAAACGCACACTGGACACATGTGTGTGCGTGCCCAAGATCCCGAGAAGAGAATGGAGGAGAAGGGAATGCGGCATGGCCATCACCCCAGGGTGGGTGATTTCTCACTTTCTGTCTCTGTTTCTCTGGCGAGTGCACACACCCTATAGTAAAAACCTCTCAAAAAAAAAAAAAAAGAGAGAGAGAGAGCTATTTTGTTTTCACTCCTGTGTAGTAGTAGAACTATAGATACAACTAGTGTCCTACACCAAACCACTAAGAATTCTGAAGCAAATGTACTAAGAAAGGACTAGCAGTGTATGTATGGAATGTTATCTGTTTTTGTGATACAGAACACAGCACTATTCCATCTGACAGACATGCTATTGTCTAGTTTATGTCACTTGGGGAGATGAGTATTGCTCATTCACATTTTTTAACAATGAATTTACTAAGTCAAAGTAGAGAGTAGTGTTTACCTGTACTTATATTAGTATGGATTCTGTCTCTAATATGCAAATAATATAAAATTGCAGGGGGACCAGGAAGTGGCATGGTGGTTAAGGTGCTGGACTCTCACATGGCCAATCATCAATGTTTGAGTCCCACACCTGGCAACTTGAAAATTAGGAACCAGCAGTTAGCGTAATGGCTATGTCGCTGGACTCCCACGTAGTCGACCGCCATTCGCGTCCTGGACCCGGTGGCTTGAAACTCACGCCGGGCGCGTGTGCATGCGTGCCCAAGATCCCGAGAGGAGAATGAAGGAGAAGGGATTGTGGCATGACCATCCCCCCTGGGGGGTGATTTCTCGCTTTCTGTCTCTATGTCTCTGTCTGTCTGGCAAGCGCACGCGCCCTATAGCGAAAACTTCTCAAAAAAATAAAAGAAAAGAAAGAAAACCACTCTGGCCATGTGTGACCAAAATCCCAGGAGGAAAGTGGAGGAGAAGAGATTGCAGTGTGGCCATCCCCACTGGGGAACAGGGTGATTTCTCACTTTTCCTCTCACTGTCTCTCTTTGCCTCTCTGGTGAGTGCATTTGCCCTATAGCAAAAAAAAAAAAAAAAAAAAATCCTAAAAAATTAAAGAATTTTTAAAAAGGTTATTTAGGGCAACAGTTGACAGAGATTAAGGCACTGGATCCGATGTGGCCAACTGCACGATTCTTGGACCTGGGAGCTTGAAAATCACACCAGGTGTGAGTGTGTGTGGGCCTGAAGTCCTGAGAAGGAAATGGAGGAGAAGGGATTGTGGTGTGGCCTTCCCCCCAGGGTTGATTTTAATTAAAAGCTAAAAGAACATTATTGAGGGAAATTTTAGGGAAAAAACAATTCTAAATAAATATTCATGAAATAAAGGACTTAATATTCAAAACAAAAACTTATTTTAATTATTTTTTCCATGAGAGAGAGAGAGAGACTCACCCCAAACAGAGTCCTAAGCCAGGATCCACCCCATCTTAGCCAGCCCAAATGCACATGGACATGGAGACCTCAGGATATGAACCCCGAACCTTCTTTGTGGGTCCAGCTTTGTTATCTCTGGCCCAAAGCAGAGCTTTTAAGAATATTGAGGTGTAACAAGTTTAGTTGTAGCTTTTTAAATGTACCTGACCACATTGTTTCTCTGAAAAGTTTCCTCAGATGACCAAGGATTTGGAGAAACCTGTTTAAAATGCATGTCCCCTTTGCAAATCTAGTTACATGTGGACTGAGGAGGGAAATCAAAAGGATGAATATTTCTCTTAAATCAGCATAATTTGGTGCTTTGATCTAAGTTTCATGCAGCTCAGATTCCACAATTAATTATCTACAGACATCTTAAGGTATGTTCTCCTAACTTGGAAAATCCACAAAGTTAGTGGTTTTACAGTTGACCAGTTGAAAATTCCTGAAGAAAATTCTTGACAGCTTGAAAATTCTTACTTTAAAATTAAAGGTACTCATGTGACTTCCACACTGTCAACCTTAAATTTAAGGTCTTCTGGGGCCAGCAGGTGGCATAACGGTTAAGGGCTCTGGACTCCTACCTGGCAACCGTGGTTCAAGTCCCGAAGCTGGTGGCTTGCTTTCTCTCTCTCGCTCTCTCTCTCCATCTATCTCCCTCTCGGTTCAAAGTAAAATAAATAAGTAAATGGATAAATAAAGTTAAATGAAATAATGCTTTAAAAAAATTAAGGTCTTTTTATCAGCTGACTCTTTTCTCAGGTCAGACTTCACAGTGAAAAACAGAACAAACAGTAAGAGGTTATCAGAAGCTGGGCAGTGTGAATAACCAGTCCAGATATTCCAGACCAAAACATTTTTAAAAAGAGTCTCAGTATAAGCAAGACTAGAGGGCCAGCAGATGGCATAGTGGTTATGTTGCTAGACTCCCACATGGCTGAGCACAGTATGAGTGTCAGACCCGGTGGCTTGAAACACACTGGGTGCATGTGCATGCGTGCCCAAGATCCCAGGAGAATGGAGGAGAAGGGATTCCCACATGGCCATCCTTCCTGGGGGATGATTTCTCACTTTCCCTCTCACTGTCTCTATCTTTCTCTCTTTCCAGTGAGTGCACACACCCTAGGGCAAAAACTCCTACAAAAAAAAAAGAGAGAGACAGAGAGAGAGAGACATTATTAATCATTAGGGCGAGACAACACGAATTGGGTTGCTTCCCATAAAGACTGTCTTCTGGGACCAGCAGTTAGCGTAATGGCTTTGTCGCTGGACTCCCATGTAGTCGACTGCGGTTCGCATCCCAGACCCAGTGGCTTGAAACTCACACCGGGCACGTGTGCGTGCGTGCCCAAGATCCCGAGAGGAGAATGAAGGAGAAGGGATTGCGGCGTGGCCATCCCCCCTGGGGGGTGATTTCCCGCTTTCTGTCTCTCTGTCTCTCTCTGTCTGTCTGGCGAGCGCACGCGCCTTATAGCAAAAACCTCTCCAAAAAAAAGAGACTGTCTTCTATATAGAAGAGATGCAGTAAATGTGGCTATTCTACAAGAAGGATGGCTCGAGGACTGCAGTGAAGGACATGGGTTGAAATGTTAATTTTTTTTTTTTTTTAAGTTTTTGCCATCAGGCGTATGTGCTTGCTGTAAAGAGACAATGAGAAGGGAAGTGAGAAATGACCCACCTCCCAGGGGGGGGATGGCCATGCCACAGTCCCTTCTTCATTCTCCTCATTTTAGGCATACACCCACACACACACACACACACGTGCCTGGAGTGATTTTCAAGCCACCAGGTCCTGGACTGAACCACACTTGGCCATGTGGGAGTTTGGTGCCCCAACCACTATGCTACCTGCTGGCCCCAACTGTTCATTATTTTTTAAAGAACTATTTTATTTATCTTTATTTATTTGTTTATTTATCTTTATTTACTTATTTATTTTATTTGACCAGAAAGGGAGAGAGTGAAACAGGAAGAAAGAAAGTTGGAAAGCAAGCCACTGAGTCTGGGACTCAAACCCCACCTGCCAGCCCTGAAAACTTAATTTTTTAAGTGTTCACTCCAAGACCCTTTCTTCTTCTTCTTCTTCTTCTTCTCCTTCTTCTTCTTCTTCTTCTTCTTCTTCTTCTTCTTCTTCTTCTTCTTCTTCATCTTCTTTTTATTTTTAACTTTATTACCCCTGGTTTTTTAATTTTTTCTTCCTTGCCTCTATTGTATCCTAGACTGACCCAAGACCTCCCCTGTGCCCTTGCTGACACTAGTTCAAACAAAATGCATGACCCATTTCTCTCCAGATCTCTGCCACGGAGGAGAAGGACTCCATCCAGCCTCTCTGGGTTCAGCCTTCAGACCCTTTACAGTTGCCTCTGGGCCATTCAGTGCACCAGGAAGAAAAGGGCCACGAGAGAAGGAGAGTGGGTCCTTAAAGGAGTGTTTGTACTGTCCATTAAAAAAAGACTCCTGATTTTTTTTTTTAAGTTCAGTACTGAAATCATTCTACAATGTGATGGACCTAGAGAAATATTTGTATAAGCAGATTTAAACAAACGATCTCCTTTGGGAGTTGGTACTTAACCTGAAGATAGAATTCAGAACTTCAAATGAGAAAGAAATTTTGTCTTTATTTTCACTGACTTTCAGTTGAAGTTTATCATTTCCTTCCATTATGAATGTAGATGACAAACTTAAAAAGTTTATTTATTCCCTTCATGAGAAAGATGAGAGAGACAGAGAAAAACAAGAATCCTCAATAAGACCTCACGCCGTAATTCCCCACGGTCCTCCCAGCCACTCAGAATCATGCCCTTCCACATGGATCCTGCCTCACTGAGCAGTGCATTCCCGCCATGCCACCAAGTCAGCCCAGGCAGTAGTATTTAGAAGCCCATGACTGAAGCCAGCAGGTGGCATGGTGGTTAAGGCACTGAATTCTCACATGGTATATCACGGTTCACATCCTGGACGCAGACAATAGGTTAAAAAAATCACAACAGGTAAGTAGATTAATAAATAAATAAATGTTCTGAAAAACATATGAAATAGGGGCCAGCAGGTGGCGTAGTGGTTCAAAGGCGCTGGACTCCCACATGGGTGACTGTGGTTTGAGTTCCAGACCTGGCAGCTTGCTTTCTCTCTCCTCTCTCTCTCTCTTTCTCTGTCAAATTAAAATAAATAAATAAAGTTAAGTAAAGTAGTTGTTAATACATACACATGCATATGTGTGTGTGTGTGTGTGGCATATAGTAGCCATCCAATGAGGGGGTGAGGTGGGCATTACTTTTTCATTCATAAAAATAGTAGGCAACAGGCATTTTCTTGGGTTTTTTTGGTTTTTTGATTTTTTTTAATTGCCAGAAGACACATGCACTGACTGGAGAGAGAGAGATAAAGAGAGAGGGAGGAGGGACCAGCAGTTAGAATAATGGCTATGTTGCTGGACTCCCACATAGTCGACCGCAGTTCGAGTCCCGGACCCGGTGGCTTAAACTCACGCCGGGCGCGTGTGCGTGCATGCCCAAGATCCCAAGAGGAGAATGGAGGAGAAGGGATTGCGGCGTGGCCATCCCCCCTGGGGGGGGGTGATTTCCTGCTTTCTGTCTCTCTGTCTCTGTCTGTCTGGTGAGCATGCGCACCCTATAGCAAAAACTTCTCCAAAAAAAAAGAGAGAGGGAGGAGAGGAAGAAAGCATCCCCCCCACCATGGAGTGTGGTCACACCCCAATCCCTTCTCCTCCATTTTTCCATCCCGTCAAGATTTTGGACATGCATACACATGCACCAAGCATGTTTTGCAAGCCACCAGGACTGGCATTCAAACCACAGTCAGCCATGTGGGATCCAGAATCCTTAATCACTAGACCTCTGAGCTGGCCCGAAATAGATATTTTTATACCATGCAACACTTGTGTAATATCAAAGTATCATTGCTATTGATTACTACTTAAAACTTTAGGTAGTTATCAGAGCCACCATTGGGGTTGTTATTTAATTTGTTAGTAACTACATGGGTGCTACATGAGAATCTTATTTTTTCAATATTTTGAATGCTGTTTTTCAATGTAATCTGTTTCCAGTGCAATCTCTTATTTTTATTTTGTGCATATAAAAGTGTCAGTCTCAGAAAGGATTATAATGTTCACCAGACTTCTGGAGGAGCCTGTGGCATAAAAATAGTTTTAAAAAAACCCCTGACCTGAACTTTTTTGTCTTCAGAAGTTATTTTTAGGCTATTTTAATAGACATATTATAAATGTAGCCCACTGGGTCTCCTTCTATATTCAGAAACTCTCCAGTTTTTCACAGAGCAGCATGATTATTTTTTACTGTGGGAACTGAGATTATTACAGAAGGCTACATGATCCTTAGTAAATAAACAATCTGGAGAAATATTGTAAGGAAAGAAAAGGCATTTCTTCCCAAGATTCTGACTAACTTAGTGGAAAAAAGAACTTAAAAATCATTTTGCAGGGAACCACCAGTTAGCGTAATGGCTATGTCGCTGGATTCCCACGTAGTCGACCGCGGTTCGTGTCCCGGACCAGGTGGCTTGAAACTCACGCCGGGCACGTGTGCGTGCGTGCCCAAGATCCCGAGAGGAGAATGGAGGAGAAGGGATTGCGACGTGACCATCCCCCCTGGGAGGTGATTTCTCGCTTTCTGTCTCTATGTCTCTCTCTGTCTGTCTGGCAAGCACACGTGCCCTATAGCAAAAACCTCTCCAAAAATGAATAAATAATAAATAAATAAATGAAAATTTTTAAAAAAAATCTTTTTGTAGCTTCCATTTTCATAGATTATTAAGTTATCTCTTCAAAAGGCATAAAACAGCTTTATCCTAGTGTTTGTCAAATCCTGCCCAAAGGGAGATAAAGCTAAATATGTCTGTAGATAAGGTATGCAGTCTCAATAGTTTCCAGGTGGACAGTATTAAAAGAGAGAGAGAGAGAATTTTATTGACTGCTCTAGCTAGCTGGCTTTGAGGTCACATAGCAAGCATACCAGGCAAAGGGTTAACTCCCAGTAACCAAAGCTACACCGATAAGCCATTTATAACCTTCACTGTTTCCAAGATGTTCGCATTGACTACGCTTTAACCACAATAGCCAAAAATGAGCCAGGCCTTACCACAATTTTGAAGCTCATCATTAAATAAACATATACAGTTTTCACATCTCAAAAGCATGGTTTATGAGCTTTGAAAAGGCATTTCTTTGTATTGATTAGGACTTTTCCTTTGTGTAACTGAAACCAACTTTATTTTATAAAAAACATCTTTGTTGGGAAATTTCATTTAAATTCATCTTCTTCACGGGCCAAAATAAATAAATAAATCCAAAATAATTTCTAGAGTTTCAGGTTTAATCCTTTTTTTGTTTGTTTGTTTGTTTTTTGAGATTTTTGCTATTAGGGTGCTTGTGCTCACCAGAAGACAGAAAGCCAGATATACCCTCCAGGAGAATGGCCATGCCACGGTCCCTTCTTCTCCATTCTCTTCTCAGGAATTTGGATATGCATGCACATATGCCTGGAGTGAATTTCAAGCAGTGGTTTCAGGGACTCGAACCACAGTTGACCATATGGGAGTCCAGCACCATACCCACTATACCACCTGCTGGCCCCAAGATTAACAAGATTTAATAGATTTTTTTAAGAGAGATTTTTGCTATTGGATGTGTGCGCTCCCGGACAGAAAGCAAGAAATCACTCCCGCCATGGGGGGATGACCACGCTGCAATCCCTTCTCCTCTCGGGATCTTGCCCATGCACACACATGCACCTGGTGTGAGTTTAAGCCAGTAGATCCAGGACTTGAACCGCGGTCGACTACGTGGGAGTTCAGTGATGTAACCATTATACCATCTCCCAAGATTTAATAGTCCCATACCTATCACTGCAACCAACAAGCATGAATTTACAAATATATCTTCAAGTATAAAGATTTTGAAGCTATCACAGGCACTGGACAGCTCATTCATGCCACTGTTCCCCTTCATTTCTCTCCCTTTTCTACAGTTCTACCAAGATGTAAAGGACTGGTGGCTCTTTGGGTTCTATTTCTGCATGCCCTTGGTGTGCACTGCCATCTTCTATACCCTCATGACTTGTGAGATGCTGAACAGAAGGAATGGCAGCTTGAGAATTGCCCTCAGTGAGCATCTGAAACAGGTAAATCCCGTAAGACAGTGAAAACCTGCCGAAGACTGTTTGGTCTTTGACAATAGGAGGCCCGAAGGCTGTATTTATGTGATTCAGTCTTGTTTCCTGAAGATGAAAATGATGCCTTGTCAATGTTTTCTTTACGGTTGGTGTGGTAGGAACTTGTTTGGGGAAATGGAGAGCCTTCTGTGAACTAGGTGGTTCTGGAGGCTCGGCCCAAAGAAAGAAGACTATTCGTTCGTTTTTCCAAGACACGGTGAGCCTGTGTGTGGGCGTGTGTCTACAGGAAATTGCCACGACAAAAAAGATACACGTGAATTTCTTCCCTTGAGAGCTTTATAGTCTTGTGGAAATAAAATACCAAGACTTGGAAAACAGAATGACAAGGTGTGATCAAAGTAGCCTGTGTGGACAGACATAAGAATGTGAAGTTCTCTCATGGAAAAGATGCATATGGTAATAGCTTTGATTTGAAGGAAATGTGTATGTTTTTGAAAAACTATATTGTATCCTATATACAGAGATGTACAACAATTAAATGTGAAGAAGAAATCATTTTTAAAAGATATAAAAAAAAAAGCCTGTGTTATAAAAAGCCTGGGAGGATACAAGATAGAGTCCTGGAGAAACTGCTTATAAATCAGGGGATTGAACCAGGCCCTAAAGGATAAATGGGATTTGATGGGAAGGAAGAGGATGGTGAATATTTTGGGGAGGGAGAACAGAAGTCTAGTTAGAATGTGGAATGGAGAGGACAGCAGGCAGCATGGTGGTGAAGGTGCTGAATTCCCACATGACCAACCATGGTTTGAGTCCCAAACTTGGCAGTTTGAGAATCATTCCGGGCATGTGTGTGTGCATGCCCCAAATCCCAAGAGAATAGAGGAGAAGGGACTGCAGCATGGCCATCACCCCTGGGATGGGGGATTTATCACTTTCCCTCTCTCTGTCTCTCTGTCTCTCTTCAGCAAGTACACATGCCCTATGGCAAAAACCTAAAAAAGAAAAGAAACTTACCTAAGGGAAAAACCTAAAAAAAAAAAAAAAAAGGAAAGAAAGAAAGAAATGTGGAATAGGCACCATGTATTTGGAGAGTGGGAAAAACGAGACGAACTTCATTAGGGCAACATTTAAGAGTTATGATAGGAAATGGAATCACATACATAGTGGAAGAAGTAAAATTTTAGAGGGCCTAAAGTTCTGGAAGGAGCTCAGACATGCCAGTAGAAGGCTAGTGTTGGTCCCACCAAGGCAGCAAATAGAACATAGAAAGTTGTCATACGGCAAAACTTGACTTCATGGCGATTATCTAAGGTATGCAACTTACCTAATAGTACCCAGCTAGCTCCTAACAGGAACTCAGCAAATATTTATATTAACTTAAAGAGTAAAACTAGGGTCAATAGGTCACCACATGGCCAACTCTGCAGTTTGAGTCCCGGACTAGAGGCCTGAGAAATGTGCCAAGCATATGTGCACGCCTTCCCAAAATCCTGAGAAGAAAATGGAGAGGACGGTATTGCAGCATAGCCAACCCTCTGGGGAATGATTTCTCACTCTCCCTCTCTGTGTCTCTGTCTCCATCTCTTTCTGGCAAGCACACATACCCTTTAGGAAAGTTATTTTTTAAATAAATAAAGAGCAAAACTACAGGGACGGGGCCAGCAGATGGAATAGTGATTCTGTCGCTGGACTCCCACATGACTAACCATGGTTCAAGTCTTGGACCTGGTGGCTTGAAAATCATGTGGGGCACATGTGCATGCATGTCCAAGATCCTAGAAGGAAAATGGAGGAAAAGTGATCATAGCATGGTCATCCCTCAGGGGGTGATTTCTCACTTTCTTTCTCTCTCTCTCTCTCTCTCTCTCTCTCTCTCTCTTTCGTGAGCACACACTCCCTAAGGCAAAAACCTAAAAAAATTTTTTTTAAATGAATAAAACCAGGACTATAGTTGCAGTAGAGAAGTATGGGGGTAGAGTCTTTTCAGCAAGTTAATAGCAAATGCATATTTTGAAAAACTATGCATGGATTTCTAAATTTTTGCATCAAATAACTCATACTTGAATTGCATCTTTCCACAAACTTTTTGAAGTCCTCTTGTGTAAGGATGTCCATCCAACCACACCAGAAGTTAGCGTGAGTTCTTGATGGAGTCTTGAAGTCCTGTCTAATCACCATATACAGCACTATTCCCCATCAGTCCCTCTTTTCAACTACTATGCTGATTTTTCTGCACTTCAGTTCCTCAGCTGTAAATTGGGCATAATAACACATGAATCAATGTTGTTATGAGAAGCAAAATAATTAGTGGGGATGCCTATACTTTGTAAAACCAAACATACCTGGCGAATGGTAGTTATTATCTTTTATTGACCTTTAGCAGGAAGATTACATTGAGAAACTTTACTCTGACGTTGTTCAGGCATGAAGGTTCAGATACTCCAGAAGTAAACACAGTTAGCAATTATTACCTTGCAATCCTGTCAAAGAGGTGATTAGTCAGAATGGATTTGTGAAAAAGTGTTTTCTTTTTCTTTTTTTTTTTTTTTTGGAGAGGTTTTTGCGTACACTCGCCAGAAAGACAGAGAGACAGAAAGTGAGAAATTGCCCCCCAGGGGGGATGGCCATGCTGCAGCTGCAATGCCTTCTCCTCCATTCTCCTCTCAGGATCTTGGGCATGCACGCACATGTGCCTGGCATAAGTTTAAGCCACCGGGTCCAGGACTTGAACCGCAGTCAGCTACATGAGAGTCTAGCAACATCGCCATTATGCCAAATGCTGGTCCCAAAAAAGTGTTTTCTAGTGATTCTTTTTTCATTAGTACCATGACTGAGGCCATTTAAGCTCAGAGTGGTACCCTGCTCTGAAAATAAATAGGGGTTGGAAACAATAGCAGTATGCTGCTTTACATTACATAGCAGTTTTTATGTTTCTGAAGAACATTTGCTTGTGCTTTCTTATTTGATTCCCCCAAGCACCCTGCGAGATAGCTAGGACAGATATCATCCTTCTTATCCAGGTTGTTAAGAGATTTGTTGCACCCAGGGGAGGTTAGAATCCCAGACTTGGTCGTCACAGTAGACATTCTCTTCAGTCACACTCAAAACTGTAGCCAGTTGGAGTAGCAGAGGAGCAAGGCCAGGCAGAAGCCTAGGATGGTGAGATCACCAGCAGGAACCCCTGCCTGCCCTTTGACCCATAGTCTATCAGGCTATGGTTCAGCTTCTTGCTTGGTTGCCTTCTATTTCCCTTCATTATAATGACAACAACTTTACCAATTTGGGATTGCGTTTGGGTGCTGGTAACAGAAAACTCAAAATAGTGAATTGAACAAAATAGTGAAGTGAATAGTTGATGGTTGTCCCACAGCACGAGTTCACATGCCACTGGTCAAGGAAGTAGAGACCAGGTGTCTGCTGTTTTGTGTAATTGCCTTCAGTCTTGGAAGAGAGCAGCAGCAGTTCTATTTTTGGATCTGATTTCCAGGCAGCAAGAAGGGAAGAACATAGAACACATTAGTGTGTGTGAACGAAAGGAGAGTACTTCTACTTTCAAGTAGCTTTTTCAGAAACCACATAATAAATCCTACTTCCATCTAATTCATCAGAACTATACCGGGGCGGGGGGGGAGTATGTGAATGATTAGGCCATAGGAGAATCAAGAATCTGTTGAGCTTTTTCACCAAAACACAGGTGTCGTGAAAACCACTGCTAAATCAAAGCCAAAATTGGAAAGGAGAAGACTCACATCAACATCGTTGTCATTGGACACGTAGATTCCAGTAAGTCCACCACCTCTGGCCATCTGATCTACAAATGTGGTGGGATCGATGGAAGAACCATCGAAAAATATGAGAAGGAGGCTGCTGAGATGGGAAAGGGCTCCTTCAAATACGCCTGGGTCTTGGATAAACTGAGAGCTGAACGTGAGCGTGGTATCACCATTGATATCTCCCTGTGGAAAGCAAGTATGATGTGACTATAATCGATGCCCCAGGACACAGAGACTTTCTCAGAAACATGATGACAGGCACATCTCAGGCTGACTGTGCTGTCCTGATTGTTGCTGCTGGTGTTGGTGAATTTGAGGCGGGTATCTCCAAGAACTGGCAGACCCATGAACATGCCCTTCTGGCTCACACATTGGGTGTGAAACAATTAATTGTTGGTGTTAACAAAATGGATTCTACTGAGCCACCTTACAGTCAGAAGAGATAGGAGGAAATTGTTAATGAAGAAAATTGGCTACAATCCCGACACAGTAGCGTTTGTGCCCATTTCTGACATGTTGGAGCCAAGTGCTAATATGCCATGGTTTGAGGGATGGAAGGTCACCCGTAAAGATGGCAATGCCAGTGGAACTACACTGCTTGAAGCTCTGGATTGCATCCTGCCACCAACTCGTCCAACTGACAAGCCCTTGCCCCTCCAGGATGTGTACAAAATTGGTGGTATTGGCACTGTTCCTGTCGGCCGAGTGGAGACTGGTGTGCTCAAACCTGGTATGGTGGTCACCTTCACACCAGTCAATGTGACAACTGAAGTCAAGTCTGCTGAAATGTACCATGAAGCTCTGAGCGAAGCTCTTCCTGGCAACATGAGTTTCAATGTCAAGAACGTGTCTGTCAAAGATGTTCAACATGGCAATGTTGCTGGTGACAGCAAAAAATGACCCACCAATGGAAGTAGCTCGCTTCACTGCTCACGTGATTATCCTGAACCATCCAGGCCGAATCAGTGCTGGCTATGCCCCTGTACTGGATTGTCACACAGCTCACATTGCTTGCAAATTTGCTGAGCTGAAGGAAAAGATTGATCGCCGTTCTGGTAAAAAGCTGGAAGATGGCCCTAAATTCTTGAAATCTGGTGATGCTGCCATTGTTGACATGGTTCCTGGCAAGCCCATGTGTGTTGAGAGCTTCTCTGACTATCCTCTTCTGGGTCGTTTTGCCATTCGTGACATGAGATAGACAGTTGTTGTGGGTGTCATCAAAGCCATGGATAAGAAGGCTGCTGGAGCTAGCAAGGTCACCAAGTCTGCCCAGAAAGTTCCGAAGGCTAAACGAATATCCCTAATTCCTGCCACCCCAGTCTGAATCAGTGGTGGAAGAACAGTCTCAGAACTGTTTGTCTCAATTGGCCATTTAAGTTTAATAGTAAAAGACTGGTTAATGATAACAATGCATCGTAAAACCTTCAGAAGGAAAGGAAAATGTTTTATGGACCACTTTGGTTTTTTGTGTGTGGCAGTTTTAAGTTACTAGTTTTTAAAATCAGTACTTTTCCATGGAAACAATTTAACCAAAAATCTGTCACAGAATTTTGAGACCCATTAAAGTTTAATGAGAAAAAAAAAAAAAGAATCTGTTGATAAGAAAGACAGGAGGGCCAGCCAGTGGCATAGTGGTTAAGGTGGCTGGATCCCACATGGCTGGCTGCACAGTTCGAGTCCTAGAGCCAGTGACTTGAAAAACACACCAAGTGTGTGTGTACATGCCAAGGTCCTGAAAGAAGAAGGGATTGCAGTGTGGCCAACCTCCTCAGGGGGTAATCTCTCTCTCTCTCTCTCTCTCTCTCTCTCTGTCATCCCCAGTGAACACACACTCCCTTTAGCAAAGAAAAAATAAATAAATAAAGGCAAGAGAGTGGAGATCGGGAGTTCCCTTTCCCACTATACAAGATGGCAGGTGAAAAAGCTGCGAAGCAGGATATTAAGGAGAAGAAACCTGAAGCCAAGAAGGCTGATGCCAGTGGCAAGGTTAAAAAGGGTGACCCCAAGGCTAAAAAGCCCAAGAAGGGGAATCCCATTGTAGCTGAAACCCAGTCCTAGTCCAGGGCATCAGCAGATACTCCCGGTCTGAAATGTATTCCAGGAAGGCCATGTACAAGAGGAAACACTTGGCCACTAAATCCAGGATTGAAAAGAAAAAGAAGCTTCTTGCGACTATCACAAAACCAGATGGAGACAAGAATGGTGGTACCCAGGTGGCTAAGCTGTGCAAAATGCCTAGATATTATCCTACTGAAGATGTGCCTCAAAAACTGTTGACTCATGGCAAAAAAAACAAACAAACAAACAAAAAAAACCTTCAGCCAGCATGTGAGAAAGCTGCGAACTAGCATCACTCCTGGGACCATTCTGATCATCCTCACTGGATGCCGCAGAGCAAGAGAGTGGATTTCCTGAAGCAGCTGAGCAGTGGCTTGTTATTTGTAACTGGACCGCTGGTTTTCAATAGAGTTCCACAGCATAGAACACACCAGTAATGTGTCGTTGTCACCTCCATGAAAATTGATACTAGCAAAGTAAAAATCCCAAAGCACCTTACTGATGCTTACTTCAAGAAAAAGAACCTGCAGAAGCCCAGACACCAGGAAGATGTGATCTTAGACGCAGAGAAGGAGAAATACGAGATTTCAGAGCAGCGCAAGATCAGAAAGCTGTGGACGTGCAAATTTTAGCAAAAAACCAAAGCTGTTCCTCAGCTCCAGGGCTACCTGCAATCTGTGTTTGTCCTTACAAATGGAGTTTATCCTCACGAATTGGTGTTCTAAATTTTTTTGCCAAGAACCTAATTAAATAACTGATCATATATAAAAAGAGAGAGAGAGAGTGGCGATTGGTTAAGTATCAGATTATGACGAAAATATGTTAATATTACCTTTTCAAAGGCTTTTCCTCTTTGAGTATATGCTTGGGGGAGGTAACCTCTCTCAGCACACTTCTTTTCATTTCTTTGGGTACACTACTTTTGTGTGTTCACCAAATGACCCTTTAAAAAGATCTCCCATTCTTATAGGTCAAAATCCTTTCTTTCTCTCCTTAATCACTGCTCTGAAGCCAGCTCCCAGCTAGCCCAATAACTAAGAAAGATTAAAGAACTTCCAAGTCTCTGAACAAGAGCAGGAATTGCTGACAACTGCCCCCAATGAATGGCTCAACTGATCGTGTGGGTTTATCGTCAGCTTCTCAGATTTCATGTCACATGCTCTGGGTTCATCCAGCATTAGTCTTCCAAACCCTGGTTCCAATCACTTTTATTTTGGCATTAACAGATTCCAGTTGCAGATAAATTGCATTTGATGCTCCTAGTTAGGCTTCTAAATGTACACACTATCATTCACGAGCACAACGCACAAGTGACTGGTTGCAGGGAACTCCTAACCTATAGGTTAGGAGTTCTTCTGAGCCCAGGCAGACTCAAAGGTATGTCTTCATTGAAACCAGCTCAGGGTTGACATGTCCCAGATTTTCTAATCATCCCTGTGATAAGCCTTTACCCTCACCCTCTGTAAACAACCCATCTTAGGAAACCACAGGCATTAATAAAATAATTTAGGGACCAGCAAAAGGCATAGTGGTTAAGATGCTGAACTCTCATGTTCAAGTCCCAGTTGCAGCAACTTAAAACACACGCATAGGCGTGAGTGCCCAAAATCCCAAGAGAAGAATGGTTAGGTTATCCCTCCTGGCAGGCCGGGTGGGGGGTGGCGATTTCTCACTTTCTCTCTCTCTGTCTCTGGTGAGTGTGTGTGCCCTATAGCAAAAAATCTCTCTAAAAATAATTAATTAATTGATTTTAGAAGCAAAAGAATGCCAATGCTAACTGTCTCCAAGATCAGAGAAAGGAGATAACGTGTCCCTGCTGGTTCTTCCATTTTGCCCCTTCCTTTAGTTTGTTTCCCAGAAGTCTGTGTCGATTCGTCCGTTCAGTCATTTTGCCTGCCAGGTCCACTTCTATCCTAACCTGTCATCTCTGCCCTAATCCCACCAACGAAACTGCGGCCATCGTCCTTCCTGACAGCTGCCTAAAAGTATTATTAGCAACTCTTTAATTGGAAAGTGGAGTTCAAGGGGCCAGCAGGTGGTGTGGTGGTAAAGGCATTAGACTCTCACATGGTCTACCATGGTTTGAGTCCTAGACCTGGTGACTTGCTTTCTCACTTTCCCTCTCTCTTTCTGTCTCTCTCTGGTTGAATTAATAATAGTAAAAATAATAATTAATAAAATAATTTATTTTAAAAATGTTTAAGATGGAGCTCAGAACCTTGAAACAGAGGCACTGCAAGGCAGGTTGTTTACCTGTGTTTTTCACTCCATGTTATCAAATACCTCCTTGTGTAATTTTTTTTATCTAGTATAAAAACACTAAACTTACTGGTTTTTTTTTTTTGGTCTCACTTTCCTTCAGCTTCTAGAAGTGGCAAAAACTGTCTTCTGCTTGGTTGTCATTTTTGCTCTCTGCTGGTTCCCTCTTCACTTAAGCCGAATTTTGAAGAAAACCGTGTATGATGAGATGGACAAGAACCGATGTGAATTACTCAGGTACGATCCTATGTACCCATTGGAAAATTGATGTTTCTGTGCTTTTCAAAATTATAACACTTTAAGAAAATTTTCTAGTCTGCATTCTTAAAATTACACTACAAAACTGATTTTTTTTAAGCTGGCATAGTCCATAACTGATCCCAGGATTTGTACAAGCCATGTCTGTAATCTTGCCATCCCCTTCTGAAACTGTGCACAAGGGTTAGAGCTCACCACGTAGTTGCCGTATCTGTGACCATCCTGTAGAACTGAGACTGCCATTGACACAAGCACTTTCTCCAAATGTAACTGCCACCCATGACACGTAGCTCTTGGGCAAGAAAAATGCTTATTCTGAGGATAAATGCTGGCTAGCAAATTTTGAAACAGTATGTTCTAATTATTCTGCACTGCTTTCTTTTTTTCTAGTTTTTTGCTGCTCATGGATTATATTGGTATTAATCTGGCAACCATGAATTCCTGTATAAACCCAATAGCTCTATATTTTGTGAGCAAGAAATTTAAAAATTGTTTCCAGGTAAGACTGTTTTGTAAGCATTTTTTAGCAACAACCAAATGAGTACATTAAGTATCCAGGAGACCTGGTCATTTCCAATTGTAACAATACATTGATCAACTATGATCCCTTTCAGTAGAAAAGTGAAAATCATATTTTGTTACCCAGAAAGGTGAGATGGCTAACATAACAGAAAAGCAGTATCTATTCAGGCAACACATGCACATGTTAAAATGGAAAGGATTAACCTAATTACCACCCAGTTTAGTAGCTTCCTTTAAAAAGAAACGTTCAAGGACGAGCAGTTAGCATAATGGCTATGTCGCTGGACTCCCATGTAGTCGACCGCAGTTCGCGTCCCGGACCTGGTGGCTTAAAACCCACGCCGGGCACGTGTGCGTGCGTGCCCAAGATCCCGAGAGGAGAATGGAGGAGAAAGGATTGCGGTGTGGCCATCCCCCCCGGGGGGTAATTTCTCACTTTCTGTCTCTCTGTCTCTGTCTGTCTGTCTGGCGAGCGCACGCGCCCTATAGCGAAAACCTCTCCAAAAAAAGAAATGTTCACACATAAACTTCCAGTCATACAGAGAACAGGAAACCTATTCATATCTCACCTTGTCTTAGATTTTAACTACAGTCTCAACAGAGTGTAAACTTTAGTGTTAAGAAAGCTCTCAGACCAGCCATTGGTGTGGTGGTGAAGAAGGCTGGCTCTCACATGGAAAACTGCAGTTCAAGTTCCAGATCCAGTAGCTTGAAAAACATGCAGAGGTGCAGGGTGCATGCGTGTTCCCAAAATCCCAAAAGGAGGAAAATGGATTGTGGTGCTGTCATCGCCCTGGGGATGCTTCCTCACTTACCCTATCTCTCTAGGACTGCAAACACCCTCAGAAAAATAAAAAGAAAAAGAAGAAAAGTAAAATTAAAAAACCTCACTACTCTTTAATAGCCTATTTAGTAATACTCTGTTTAAGGAAAGTTCATGCTTAATGCTCTAGAAACCTGAACCAATCCAATTTCATTCGCGATCATTTTCCTTCTGTATTCAAACCTCCATCTAGCTAAGCACTCACGTCTTCCAGAAGCTCCAAGCATGTCTCACTGATGTGTCATTCTTCCAATTCCTGGAATGAGTTTAGCATGGAGTTAATCCTAACTGGATTTTGTTATCTTTGACCGGGATGTTTAGCTTTAGCTCATGGTACATATTAGGCAGAGTAGCTTCGAGGTCAAGGGTGCAGGCTCTGGAAGCAAACAGCCTCCAAGGACGTCAAGCGCGGCACTAGCTGTCAGCCCAGGTCTGGCTAGCGCCTCCTCCACTCCCTCACTTTCTCATCTGTAACACTGGAGGGTCACAGCATATCTCTCCTAAGTAGGGTTCCATGGGATAATATACGTAAAGTGCTTGAGACAGTATGAAATGTTCGATATAAGTAGATGATTAGTAGGGATAGAGCAGATAAACACTGTAACTGCTCTCCTGAGATTTTTAATCTAGAAAGAGACAGACATATATTAACCAAAGAATGATACAAGTAGAGAAAACGTGGCATGGAAGTTTTGGCTGCCATGGTTTTGAGGTCTCCCTGCAATGTTTACAGGCTGTGAAATGCCTGTCTCAAAGGGGTCGACTGACATGCAAGTCATGATTCATTTGTTTGTTCCATGAGCTGCAGTTGATATTGCTTGCTGGTTAATTTATATATTAATGATCAAAGTACAAATTGTCAGAACTTAAATGCTTTTTGTGATGGATGTGTCTAAGAAAGGCAACATACTCAAAGGGTAGATCCCAATCTAGAGAGTCCTGGGTTCCAGTTCTAGTTGGGTCTCGGTAATCTCTTCTGTTCTCTCTTCTCCCAGTCGTGCCTCTGCTGCTGCTGTTACCAGTCCAAAAGTCTGATGACCTCGGTCCCCATGAATGGAACGAGCATTCAGTGGAAGAACCACGACCAAAACAACCACAACACCGAGAGGAGCAGCCACAAGGACAGTATTAACTAACCAGTTGAAGAAACCCGGATCAGTATTCCTTCAAATCCTACCTGAGAAAAAAGATCACAGTGACAGTGTCTCCAGAAATCTCCTCTCCCATCCTTCCTTCTTAATTCAATCCTACCCTCAGGGGGGAGAAAAATGCTTTCCAGAACAGCAGAGGGTGGACTCATTCAAACCACAGTCTATGAATCTTATTTCTTTATTTTTATCTGACTCCCATATTCTGCATGTTGTAGTCAGCACTAAAGGGGTTGGGGCAGAGTGGAGACTATTCAGTGGAAGCAGAAAGATATTTACTGCTTGTGTGTGACAATAGCATTTTCAAAGGTGACTAGCATTCCTGGAAGTTCAGCGAATGTTCAGTAAGAACTGGCGGCCGCCAAAGAGATTAGGACAAAATGTTCTATTTTTTTAAGTGTTTTTTTCTTTTTTAATTTTAGTTTTGATCATACACAGTATGTGTTTAAGGCACCTTTATTTCAAACCTTCGATGCCAGTATTTTTTAATTTTTCAAGTGTATAATAGCCTAAAATGATTGAGTTTATTTTCATATATCACCCCCCAAAAAAGGGGGAAAAAAGTATTCAGGTGAGCAGTTAGATTAATATTTCTTATGTCACTGTTTCATATTTAAAACATAAATTCTAAAGCTGCAACAAAATACAGTGATTTAAAGCATAGGCTTATAGTGTAATAGCTGCTACTCAAAAGAATTTGTAAGAGCCCTTTTTTTTTTTTTTTTAGGGATGTTGTATTACAGAAGATCTTAAACAAATTTTTTATGTTAAATTCAAACGTAATGCTTGGATCAACATTTCCGTGTTTCACAAGTCCGGTCTTTTTTTAATGTAAGTTTTTTTAAATGTAAAATCAGTATCATGTACCAAAATTTAAATATATCTGTGACTTAACTGTGCCTGATATTTTTGGTGCAATGTATCGAAAACTAAGGCATCCCTAGAAGAAAAACATTGAGTATTTTGAGAAGATGTGGACATTTTCATTGGAGTTTTTTTTTGTAAAAGTAACACATACGTGTGTGTGTGTGTATATGTATGTATTTATTCTACATATCATCTTGTATTCTCTTAATTTCTCTTAAAATGTTGGGACCGGCAGATGGTGTAATGGCTATGTCGCTGGACTCCCATGTAGTGGACCGCAGTTCAAGTCCCAGACCTGGAGGCTTGAAACTCACACCGGGCACGTGTGTGTGCGTGTGTGCCCGAAATCCTGAGAGGAGAATGGAGGAGAAGGGATTGCAGCATGGTCATCCCCCCTGGGGGGTGATTTCTTGCTTTCTGTCTCTCTGTCTTTCAGGTGAATGTATATGCCCTATAACAAAAATCTCTCAAAAAAAAAAATTATTAGTGGTAGGAAGACTTTTTTGGTTATTCCTTTTTCCATGTAGAACACATAATTTCAGAGTGGCCAGATGAGTTCATCATGTAGTGAAATATAGTCTCCCTCATATGCCAGCGTAAACTTACCATTCTTCACTTCTCTGAGTTTCCAGTATGAGCCTAAATCCATACCCCGCTCCTCACACGGTCACCATTTCAAAAGGCCCACAGTGACTTTTGCTGGGCACTTTCCCAGATGTTTACAAACTGTGAGTATGGCAGACAATCTTTGAGTGGTATGTGTATGCATATGTGTGTATATAAATATATATATAAACAATTGTACATTTCTTTTAGCCAGGTTTTCTGTGATTGCCTCTGTAGAATGTATTTGAGTATGTGGTATATGCATGTGTGTGAAGGTGTGTCTGGATTTAATCTAGTCTAATAATAATACCCTGTAGTCGTGCCAAAGCTCATGCCCTATGTGGAATTGAGGTGACCATTCATCATGACCTCAGTCAGTGTCAACCAATAAGAATCTTCTGTGCTCATAAATGTGTGACCATGTTACCATTACGAATGAACGTGGGAGGCAGCATGAAAGGGAACGAGGCCTGAGGTAACAAGAGAGGGTTTTGTTTGGTGGATTGGTTGGTTCGAGAAGACAGTATTCAGGGTTATGTAGTTTCCTAGGCTAGAGCTAAAGTTGTTACACTTTGAAATAGAATACTGTCCTAATCCTTGACTCCATGTGGTGATGAAATTGAGAAATTGTCTGATGTTGCTATCAGATTTTACCAGACAGATTGCTGATGACAAAGGGACTAAACTAATTTGTTGGGTCATATTTCAGGCATGGTCACAGTAAGATGGTGTCACATTGACTGCAGGGCTAAGAAACATTGCTCCTGGGTGTGTTCATGGTCAACATTCCATTTTTCCACCAAATGCAGTGATACATGCCTATAAGAGAAGCCATAGGTACATACCATTTTCTTTAGCAAATTGTCTCTTTTTTTAAGATGCTTCGTTTCTTGCATATGAGAAAGAAAGTATTTTGTAAATTCAGAAAGTCATCGATTTCCGAATAGCTAGACAGGCTTCAATGTGCATTTTGTTTATGGACTGGTAAATAACCATGGTTTCCTAGTAAGAATAGTTCCAATTTCTACCTTTACCACATCTTTACGACAAGTAACTTTGTAGGAATGAGCCAGAAGCCAAAGCCATGAGTTGGCAATGGCCCATAAATATAAAATAAAAGTTTACAGAAGCCTTGCAGGTGTCTCTTCATTTTTACATAATTCTTCATTGAAAAGGTTTATTACATAATGCCTGTTGTAAATCTCTCTTTAATAGCAGCTAGGCAAGCAATTTGACTTTTGTGGGGGTTTTGTTGTTGTTGTTATTGTTGGGTTCTTTTCTTTTTTCGTAGAAGGGCATGTGCACTTACCAGAGGGAGAGAAAGAATGCACAGTCGTTCCACAATCCTTTTCTCCTTCCTATCAGGATTTTAAGCATGTACACACATGTGCTCAGCATGTTTTTCAAGCCATAGGGCTAGGATTCAAACTAGAGTTGGCTAGCTCCTAGTACACAATGCTTAACCACTGCATTAAAGGGTCAACCCACGATTTTACTTTCAGATATTTCCTAACTGTACTCTGTTCTCCTGCTCTGTTGAACATTTACCTCTCTCATTCATTCCTTTGTTGACCTTTCCAGTACATTTTATTGGTCATCTACTCTATCCCGAGTGTTTGTCTAGGTACTGGGGACATAGAAGTGAACAAAACATGCACAGTCTTTGATCTCATGGAGCTTGCACTCTAGAGGAAGGAGCTGGGGGTGTGGGGGCGGGGAGAGAAGCTACAGTCAAGAGCCAGCAGGTGACATGGTGGCTGGAGTGCTGGGTTCCCACATGGCCAACTGAAGTTTGAGTCCTAGACACAATAGCTTGAAAATCACACTGGGTGCATGTGTGTGCATGCCCCAAATCCCAATGGAGGAGAAGGGATTGCTGCATGGCCATCCTCCCTGGGAAGTGATTTCACTTTCCTTCTCATTGTTTCTCCACCACCACTGTTACAACACATGCCCTATGGCAAGCACTTAAAAAAAAATAAAAGTTACAGTCATTAAGCAAATGTTAAGTGGATAGCTATATCCAACTGCTTGATCTCTATAATTGAATGACTAACTTATACTGCACCCAAAACAAAAGCTTCTCATCCTCTGATCTGTACCACTGTGACCCTCCTCTGTTCAGTTAAAGACATCTCCATTCTCAGAGTTGTTCTGGACAAAAATTTTGAGGTCATGTCTCATTCTTTTCTCATATTTTACACCCAACATCTCAATAAATTCTGAGAGCCCTGTCTTCAGAATATATCTAAAACCTGACCCTTTCTCTGACTCTACCTCCCAAGCCTAAGCGCCATCATTTCTCTTCAGGAGAACTGCAATAGTCTCCTTC